CTTTGGCCAGTTTGGGTCAGCTGTCCTGGCTGTGTCCCCTCCCAGCTTCTTGTGCACCTCCAGCCTCCTCGCTGGCAGGGCAGTATGAGAAGCTGGAAAGTCCTTGACTTAGTGTAAGCACTGCTCAGCAACAGCTAAAACATCAGTGTTACCAACATTATTCTCGTACTAAATCCAAAACACAGCACTGTACCAGCTACTAGGAAGAAAATTAACTCTACCCCAGCCAAAACCAGGACAATGGTTAAATAATTATTAATTCGTTTACCACAGAGTAAAACCTAACATCGTATTTACAGCCCCCACCAAACCTGTTCTCTTTAGTGCCCCACTAGAATGGATGACCACATCGCCACCAAAATACCGCATCTCCAAGGCATCCATGGGGAAGCTCTCACAAGAGGCATGCACCTTAACAGTTCCAGTTTGGAGTAGCCTGGAATGCACTTCATCCTCAAAAGAACAGTCACCTCTAAGCTTCTCCCCTCTACCTTCCCCCAAATTCAACGAAGGAAACTTCTTTCTCAGTCTGGAAAAGTACACTTTTTTTTTTTTTCCCCATTCAATGGCTAATGTTTACATTTATTCAAACTTGAAATTCTACAGACTCTCAGTTTGCCCATCCAACAGGTAACATGAAGCACAAAGAAACCCTTTAAAACATCCGGCTACAAACCTGTAAGAGATGAAATATGCACATCCATTTTAGTCAAAAACCCTGTTCATATATATACATACGCATACACTCAGAGTTTTATGTGCACCAACAAGCCTACTAATTCAGATCTGCGTCCAGTGAAGTCTTGAACACCTCCAAGGATGGAGATCCCACACCTCTCTGGGCACCTGTTCCAGTCTTTTATCACCCTTGTGGTAACTTTTTCCTTATACCTAATCAGAATTTGCCATGTTCCAGCTTGTGTCTGCTGCCTCTCATCCTTCCACTACACATCTCTGAGAAGAGTCTGGCTCTGTCTTCCCACAGTGAAATGCAACTCTGAGAACACGTGGGACTTATAACCACAACTGCAGAAATAACAAATACTGCGTATTAAAGTATATCAATGTAAGGCAGGCGTACAATACGAACTAATGAAATACATCAAATTATTATACCACATAATGTTTCTTTAGAGCTTATTTACAATCCTCTGCTTTCACACAAGCTCGCAAAAAATTAACAGCTAAAAAGATACAGAATTAACATGGGAATACCTTCTTAGTTTGATGAATTTACAATGATTCACAGATTTTAGAGCGAATTAGTGGCTGGGTTTGAATTGCCTTCCAACATTCCCAAGTGGTTTTTTTTTTTTTTTAAAAAAGTTTCCAGATGAGATACACTTGCCCAGGTGGCTGGGTTTGAATTGCCTTCCAACATCCCCAAGTGGCTTTTTTTTTTTTAAAAAAGTTTCCAGATGAGATACACTTGCCCATGAAATACAGTATCTTGGGCAGTGATCGCACACATACAAGCACTTCTATTAGAGAAAAACAAAGATCTCAGTTGGCATATGGGAAGGGAAAGACAAGGGGATAATTTGAAGTCTGCAAGTCTCAATTATTAAAATGCTAAAAATCTTAAAAGCTCTTAATAACATACTTTCAGGTAAACAATATACATTTTTGTGCTCAAGAGCACTGCAAATATTTAAAGCAGCTTCCTTCTTAAATCAATTTTAAGTCTTAAGTAATTGTAAATGGCTATGTTCTAAAAATAAATAGTTATTGTGGATAAACATGATTTGTTTTCAAAGCTGGTATTAGGCTCATAATAACTCAAGTGTGTTATGTTAGGACATTAGAGCAGAATTAAATCAAAAAGTTTAAGTAGCACAAGTTTATTGCTAAAGCTTTGAAGAAATTAAGCATATGTGATAGAGATCAGTGGCTAAGCAGCAGGGACAAACATTTCATAGCATTACTCTCTTGCATGTACAGAGAACTTCTGTTTGGTTTAGTCAGTGAATTGTTCCCTCAGAAATTTAAAAGCAAAACCCAAACCCCCTCCAAATCAAAATAAGCACTCATTGTTTTCCTCCTCCATCTATAAGTAAGATGAAATGTGAATTTACAAAACCTTCTAGTTCTCAACCTGCTAAGGGTACTGTTAACAAAAACAATCAGTGTTGAGTCATGAACTAGACAAGCTTTTATTCAGTGGATTTCTTTGGTTTAAAAGGAAAACCATTCTCAGATTTCCAGATATTTCATACACTTTTTTTAACTGCATCTCCAGTCACTATCCTAAACACCTTACTTGACACCGTATTTTACTTGTATCAAGCTTGCTTTAACGTCTAGCATGTCTAATTCACTAGATAAATGTATATTTGGGTTCTCATGAGCCCTAAATAGGTAAAAGTAAGGTATACTTCTCCTGCTGCTAGAAAATAAGTGCTTATTTCACAAGAGAGGTTATAGTTGCAAACATCTTTTATCCAGTATGAGTACAAAACAAGATTAACTCTATTACTTAAATCACAATTAAAATCAGTGATTTTAATCAATCCACTGTTTCTAATCATATACCTAAGTGACCTATGTAACATACACTGTGCACAGATTAAAGAGGAAAAGCATGTTAAAGCTAACCTAAGCCCTGACCCTAACTGTCTTAGTCTTACCCCAAGAAAGGGGAAGCTTTAGAGGAAGCAAGTTAAAGCCAACTGAAACTTCATGTGCAAAGGTAACTACAGAAGAGATGCATTATTTCCCAATAAAGTGTAAATATTTTGTTTCAAACTGATGACAGGATTAGTCTGCCTGCTTTGAACGGTGTTAGGATTCAGCTACCTCCCGCTCTCCCAACAGTTTTTAATTCCTCTACTTTGCACAAAGGTAAGAGCAGCTGTCATCAACTCAGTGTTTGCAACTCCAAGGTCAGGAGGCACAGGAACTCCTTAGGTGGACACACATACCTGTCCCTGCACCTGGGGGAGTAAACTCCAACCACTTGGCTACACAAGTGTTGAAATCAGATGAGGCATCGCCAAGACCGTTTCTTGAGCCCGGGAGGTGGCTAAATATGCATCCACGGTGAATGCACGCTGACTTTACCACCTGCCTCTTCCCCCACCCTCAAGGAAACACACGATTTTTGTGTATTTTACTCGGAGGTAAGATGTGCACGCAATGAGACGTAAGGGAATAGAAAAAGAGACACCCCGGCACCTACAGGGCCATATAACCCGTTCGGATTTAATTTCATAAAAGGTGTCGTGTTGCTCTTTGGGGGCGGAAAACGAGAAAGCGAGAAAAAGAGCCAGCCCCGCAGGGAAGGGAAGGGCAGCCCAGCCCAGCCCAGCCCCGCCGACCCCGCAGCTGCCCC